CGTAAAAGGACCAATTTGTCTCCAACTTCATATTCAAAAGTATAAAAAATGAAGGGTAAAAACCGCAAAAAGGTTTCTCCGGATCTTGCCTTTTATATATACATATAGATTAATTGGTTTAATAATTAATTTTAATTATTTTAGAATTTAAAAAATAAAAAAGTATAATAAATATATATTTGGTTGGGGCATGCATTTCTTATTCTTGGGGTGAGACTTGACTTTTTTAGAAATTCTTTTATAGAGACAAAAAAATAAGTTTAAACAGATATAAGTAAACTTTTAAAGATACATTTTAGAGAGATAAATAAAAAGAGAAATTAAAGATAAAAAGAGAAATTCTAGAGGAAAAGGTAAGTTGAGAGGAAAAGTTATATTAAAGAAAAAAATAAATTATAAAGAAAAATTATAGTGAAAAAAAATTATAGATAAATATAAGATTGAAAATATATTTTTTTAAAAAAATAAATAAATATAGAGAAATAAAAATTATTGTGAAAGAAAATTAAAGATAAAAGTCTTTGAAAAGAATAAATTTGAAATAGAGAAATTAAATATGAATTATAAAAGATGAAGTTTTAGAGAGAAAAAGTTTAGAAAAATATAAAAAAATTTTAGAGTGAGTAATTTTTTAGAGATATATATGACAGGAAAAAAATTGAGTATTAGTAGAAAAAATCATATAGAAAAATAGAAATCTATTTTTGGAATATTTTTTTTTTGAATTTAGGTTTTTGAAGAAAAAAAATAGAAAGTTGAATTGGTTATAACAATTATGTGCTTTAAAAACAAAAAATTAAAAATCAGAAAAAGGAAACAAATGTTTATGAAACGGACAAAAAAAAAAAAGCTAAAACTTAGAAATCAGAAAAAGAAAACAAAATGTTTATTAAACGGGCACTTAATTATGTGTGGCGAATATTATAAGATGAACAGAAAGGAAAATTTGTCATTAAAAAAGAAAAGGTAGATTTTTGTCATTTTTCACATGTTTAAGACAAGACAAAGGAAAATTTGTGGTGGTTACTTGGTTGAATGTTCTTGGTCAAATGTGTCATCTTCATACCCTTTTTTTTAATAGTTTTGATTTTTTTGGGAAGAAAAATAAGCTTCAAAAGGCACAGATGAAAGGAAACTACACGGAGGTAATGAGGTGGGGCATGGAGACCCCTGAAATGTCAACCATCAACATATGGAAAAGGCCTCTTGGAGGCTCGTCGCACAAATGAATTCCTAAAGGGAGGTTACAAGCTCAATTAGCTAGCCAATCAGCACAAAAATTTGCTTATCTGTAAACATGTTGTATCGAGACATCTCCATCAGTTGGACGATCTTCATTACGAATGGTCTTAGCAAGGCAATGGATTAATTGTGACTTCGAACCAAATTACATGCCACTTCCTAGTCGGATTCAAAATCCCAGGATATCTCGAGTCTAGATAGAATCCCCCAAAGTTCTGCTACGATTGCTGTTGTGTGCCCAACGTTTTGCTGAAATCCTTTGATCCAATTCCCATCAGAATCTTGAATTATACCCTCCTGCCCCAGTCAAACCTGGGTTTCCATGAGCTGAACCATCGATGTTCGACTTCCAATAATTGCACGACGGAGGCTGCCAATGGATGTTAGACCAACACTGGAAATGTTTCTTTAATAAGGGCGTCGCTAACTTCCAAGATTGGACAAAACTATCCGTTGTTCTTCGTACTACTATGGTAGGGTCTTCTGGCCTGCTTGAAGAAGGAATAAAAATTGCTTTGTTCCTCCATGACCAAAGCAACTAGAAGTCGACCGCAAAGATGTTTGACCAATGCATGTGAGGTGGATTCCTTAGGTTCAATAAATGTTATTGCAGCAAATCACAATTGAAAAACTTATTAGTGAAATCAGATGGAACTAAACTTAACCACACCCTATGGGCCAAAACACACTCTCTTAGAACATGGACAATTGTTTCAGGTAAATTGGGACAATTAGGACATCTGTCCGATTGACTTAAATGCCTTTTGAATCTTTCAAAATTAGTTAGAATTCTCTCGTGTCCCACTAGCCATAAAAAGAAGCATATTCTAAAAGCCTTTCCCACCTCCAAATCTTTCCATGAACTATTATCTGAAGTATGAATTTTTAAAGCTAGGAGATTCTTACATGTGACTGAAACATAATCATTTCCGTATGTTGACCCAAACCAGATGGGAAAGTCTGGTAACTTAATTCACTCATCTGGTGGTCTGATGCTTGCAATGGCCAGCAGCACTGATTGGTTAACTTTTCCAGTGAACGCTTCCCAATTCCACTCTCCTGTTTCTAATACATAATCCCTAACTGGACGATACTTCTCTAACTCCAGAATGCCAATGTCCCCCATTATTTCTATAAGATTTTTCCTATTTATCCAACGATCGCTCCAGAATTTGACCAGACACCCATTACCAATTCCCCACCTCATCCAATAGCTAATTTCATTCCATGCTCCAACTATAGCATTCCATAGCCAAGAACCTCCTTGTTTAACTGTCAATTTCCCTCCATCCCTCCATCTTCCTTTATATTTATTAATAAGAACTTGGGCCCCAAAGGTCGCTTGGCTTTTTAATCAAACCCCAGGCAATCTTCCCTAAGAGAGCCGTATTAAACTCATTAAATTTATGAAGACCAAGATTCCTCTCAACTTTAGGCTTAGTAATTGATTTCCAACTGATTAAATGGATTCTAGACCTCTGAGAGGTATGCCCCCACAATAAGTTTCTACACAGTTGGTCAAGTTTTTTACACACCAAAACTGGGAACCGAAAAATGTGCATGGAGTGAGTTGGAAGAGCTTGAAGCACAGGTTGGACAAGGGTCATGTGCCCTGCCAATGATAAAGAAGCAGCTGACCAGTTACTCAAACAAAGACTAACTTTGTTTATTATCTCTTTGAAAGCCGAGGCAGGAAGCCGACCATGTATAATTGGAATCCCTAAGCATTTCCCTACATTGGAAGTAACTCTAAATCCACCAACATCAACAATCTGTTGTTGCTCCTCGTGAGGGACATTCTTTGAGAAATAGATAATTGTCTTGAAGTTACTTTTTGGACTGAAGCCTCACAAAATTTACTTAGAACTGTCTTAATAACCTCAATTTGGTCTAAATTAGCTTCCGCAAAGAGTAATAGATCATCTGCAAACATTAAGTGAGAGATAGCCAGCCCATGCGAACCCACACGAATAGGCTTCCACCTATTCTCTCTAACCGTATCCTCGATATAGTGGGAAAGTATTTCTAAACAGAGAACGAAAAGGTAGGAGATAAAGGACAGCCCTGCTGAACACCCCTCCTCATTCTAAAAACAGATGTGGGTTCCCCATTCCAAAGAATTTGCATCTTCGCTGAGCTTACGCAGTCCATTATAATATTTATCAAATTTCTAGGGAGACCTACCAACTCTAGAGTTTCTTCCAAAAAATCTCAGGCAATTCTATCATACGCGTTCTTTAGGTCAACTTTGACTAACTTAAATAAACTAGATTTCTTTAATTTGTCCATCATGTGAATTAACTCTTGTGCGATAATGATGTTATCCTGTATATGCCTCCCTGGGACAAAGCTTGCTTGGTTAGGGGAAATTATCATCCCTAGATAATTTCGCAGTCTAAGGACAATCATCTTAGTAATGAGCTTGTAAGAAACATTACATAAACTAATTCGTCTAAACTGGGTTATAGATTCAGGGAGTTCAACTTTGGGAATAAGAACTATAAAAGTGTTATTCGCCTTTTTCTATTGAATTCCCTTTCTCCAAAATATCTTTAGCAAATGCAACCATCGAGGAAGCAACAATAGACCAGTTTTGTTGGTAAAAAACAGCCTGACAGCCGTCCGAACCAGGAGCCTTAAAATCACCCATGACAAACATTGCTGAACGAACTTCTTCCAAAGAAACCTCCTTAATCAGACTCCCAATAGATTTTGTTGGGAGGATAGGGAAGGTAGAATCCGTAATCAGTTTAACACCCATATCTGAGACTCCATACATATTTTGAAAATGCTCAACTACCAGCTCCTTAAAGGCTGAATCCTCTGTAACCCAATTGTCATTGTTATCTTTTAGTGTCTCTATGCGAATCCTTTTACGGGATATTATAGCCTTAGTATGGAAAATTTTCGTCTATCGGTCCCCAAACCACACCCATTCACATATGAATCTTTGAAACCAGTTGATTTCCTCTTATAAGAAAATGTTATCAAGCTCTGTATTTAACTCAAATTCTAAATTTAACAGGAACAGATTGCTACTATGAGGGATTCTATGTTGAATACCTGTAAGTCGGGCCAGGATTACCTTCTTTCTCCAAAAAAATGCTTTGGAATATTTCCTTATTCCATTGAGAGGCTTTCCCTTGGACAATTGCTAATTGTGTTGTTAGAGATTATGTTTTGGGCCAAATCTCTTCGAGGAATGAGGGAAACATCTTGTGAGTAAGCCACGCTGCCATAAACCTAAAAGGTTTTTTATTACGATTACTAGCACAAAATCCAGCAGTATCTAACAAGATTGGGTGATGGTCAGACTTAATCCTAGGTAAAACTCTAATAGACTCTAGGAAAGCTAATTGTCATTCCGCATTTGCGAAACCTCTATCAAGCCTTTCAAAGATTCTAGAATAACCTTGTAACAAAGGCCCTCTCCAGGTGAACTTAGGCCCTATATTGCCAAGTTTCATAAGCTGACAATTATTCATCCTATTTACAAAGAGAGTAGATGAACTCGAATTAAAAGGGGCATCGCCCGATTTTTCCTCACTTACTAAAATCTCATTAAAGTATCCTAAAAGCAGCCAAGGCTCAGAAATTTCAGAAGCAATTGAATCAAGAAACTTCCATAAGTCTCTTCTTGAAGCCCTCTGTGGGCTTCTATATATAGCAGTAAACACACTCGAGGAGTTACCTTTAGTGATTCTAAAATGAAAGGCTTGATTGTATCTATTTAACTCAACAAGTGAAACACTATTATGTTGCCACAACACCCATATGCCACCCTTAAATCTTAAAGCTTCAATGTGAGTATAAGAAAATCTAGCAAAACTACCACAAACTCTATTAGCCACGTTACCACTAATTTTGGGTTCTAAGATTACTAGAACATCCGTATTGTAAGCTTGGATCATATCCCTAAGAACATATTTAAAACGGGGGCCACCAGCCCTCCTACAATTTCAAGACATAAAAATCATTAAAACTATGATAGTTTAGAGTTACTTCCCTGTAGGAATGACCCCTGCTGCTGATATCTCCATTCCTTGTTCGCTTGAAGCGTACTCCATTGCCTGAGGTGCATCTTCATCTCTCTGATGCATAACAACATTGACATCCCCCAGATTCATTATCTGGGCCTGATGGTAATCGCTCTTCCTACTCAACGTCTCACTTGTTGAAGCCCCAACAGAATCGAAAAACCCCTTGCAAGGGATTGGTGATTCTGGATCAAGATCGTCCTCTTGGTTTGAGTCCATGTCCCTAGGGTTATAATCTTTGTCCATCCAACAAGGTTTTCGTCTTCCAATTGAATCTTGAGTTTCAACAGGCCCCTGATAATCAAAAGGAAATCTTGAAAAATTTACCCCAAGTCCAGAAATAGGATTCATGTTCTTAAACCTCCAAGAATCTTGATCCCTTACGATCCTCGCTCTCTCATCTTACTTATTTTGAAGAGATTTTACACGATCAAGCGCCTCAGATGGATCAACAATTGTGTCAAGGACATCCGTGAGCTCTTCAATTGGGTCCTGATTTGCATTCCACTTAGAATTCAAGTTTTTGGATGAGAATATACCTCTCTCTGACCTTGTACGAGGTGGTTTTCCTCCTCCCTTTCTCTTGGAATGATCCACTAGCAACCAAGGTCCATGTCCGGGTGAAGGTTTTGGCTGAGAAACTTGCATTGCTATTAAAGACTTTTGTGGAAACTCCAGGATATTGCTTTCCTTTGGATCCCTCGAATCTCCTCCAATGGGGTCTGGTGTTCCAAATGAATTATCATTGGCCTTCGTCTTAGTATGGCATCTCAAGGGACACTCCTCCAATTTGTGCTCATACAACCACAATTGAAATAGACTAAATGTATCCCTTCATATTGGATTATATTCCATACATTTCTCCTAAAATTGTAAAGTCTTGTACGAGCTTCTTCGTAAGATCCACCTCAACGCAGATTCTTGCAAAGTGATCCATTTCCCGGGATTGGGTCTTGAAATCAATTTTTAGAGTCTTGCTGTAGGATTTAATAAAATCGAGAAATTCAAATTCATTTTGAATTTGAAAATAAGGGAGCAGTTATGTTAATATCTCTCAACTCCCTCCTCACTCTGTGTGTGTCATTCGTGAGAATTTCCCTAGAAAGCAAAAGAGTGAGTGTTCTGTAAAACACAGAGAAGGAAGAGAGTGTTGGATTGTCTCAAAGTTCTTCACCACTGGAAGAATTCAGGCAGTGAATCGTGAGATCTTTCCATCCGTGATTGATCCTCGACCGTGACTTGGTTTTCGTGAATTCCGCTGCGACGCTACAAGAGGTTAGTATCCTATCCCACAAAAACCCAACACTTGCTTATGAAATCACTGATTTCATTCATCTCTGTCTCATTATAAAGTTCCATCGGGCAATCAGGGATGCAAACCCACAAAGCAGCCCTGTCAATAGTCACTGTTGATGGCCTGAATTTGGGAGACCAGCCACGAATCGCCAGATAGTAGTCTAAAATCTTCCAAGGGCCGTCCATAAGGACTCTGTCTCGATCCTCTTTCAATTCCAGGTGCGCAATAAAGAAATCATTGCTGAGACTGATCAACTTGAATTCCCCTTTAGATTTCCAAATTGCCATTAACCTTCGGAGGAGAAATTGATAACCAAAAGTCTTGCCTATTACTTTTATGATTAGGGTTAACCTCCACGGTGCCCTAAAATTCTTCTATTGTTCTTTCAAAAATTTTACATCATCCAAGGGATGCGATTCTACTTCTTCATCACTGAGATCATCTTCCAGTAGATTTTCAACACCCATCTCAAGATCTTCATTCGTGTCTCCCAAAACCATTTCATGGTACGAAAATTTTCGCTTTCCGCCGTCTGGTAAACTTCCAAAGCAATCTTTTAGAGGAAAGTCTTGATTGTCTTCACTAGCCCGATGCCTGATCCGAGCCCTTCTAGCTTTTTTGATACTATGATTAAGCTGATCTTGTTCTTCCACGGAGAGAGGATTCTCTTCCATTCTTCAATGTAATTATTTTGATTTACTTTTTCAAAGTCTCTTGAAGCTTTGTTGGCTATTACCAACAAGTGAATTACTTTGAATCAAGCAGGTCTCCCACTAGAATTTATAGTTTCTATTTTCAATGAACATTAATTAGTACACAACAGTCACATATATGCTACCAAACAAAGTTTTTTTTTTGGGGAATAATAAAATTTTCTATATATTTTTTTAATTTTGTTGATTCATCCGTAGTTAATTGTTTCATGGATAAAATTGAAATTTTTGATCGATTTTAGCCTCGGATGTCATGGATAAAATCAAAGCTTATCCACAGTGTAACAGAGTTCATTTTGTTTTGATGACATTGGTGGAGGTGAAAAGGAAAAAGTAAAAGCATAATTGTAAACTTTTTTTTTTTTTTGTGTGTGTGTGTAGAAGAGGGTAATAAAGACTTAAAATCTAGATTTTGGCTAGATGCCTAAAACTGAAAATTATTTTTCAAACTCAACTTTTGTACATCAATTCAAAGTATTTCCAAAATTTGTTGCTTTGCCTTAGTATTCAATATAATTAAGCCCTTTAAAAAATTACTAAAAGAGAAATAAAAAAAACCGAAAACTTATCATCAATTTTCAAGAAAAATAATGAGTAAAAGACACTCTTTGGAGAGTAAATGCTAGTCTTAATTTGAATGGTTAATAAGATAAGTCGATGATCAATCTATAAGGTGACTTTCTACCAGTGGATAATGAACTATTGATCTTCAAGCACTAATTATTATTATTATAATTCTCACAATCTCCCCCATTCTTTAGAAAAAAGTTAGGCATGTGGTTAGGCCAAGGAGCTTTGTTTTAGCCATGGGTTTGAGAAATTTTCAACACAAGCATTGCTTAAGGATTTTAGATAATACTCCTCTCTTAAAAGTAATTTTTGGTTCGAAGTTGGAAGGAAAACTCGTATGCCATACACCAAAGTAGTCAGATTTTTCCTCGATCACGCTCACAATTTTTTTTTTGGCCAGCGTGTGATGTCGTAACGAATTGAATCATATTTAGGTTAATAGTTTTAAAATTATTTAATAAAAAGATAGAATTATTTTTTTCCTTATTGAAACTTCCATCTTTCTTTCAATTCATTGAAAAGTGCTTCCCTCCGCTCTCATTAACTATATCTGAACATAAGAGTTTTGTGGTTAAATCACTAATTGATGTTTTAACGAAAGCCTCATTCTATCTCGAGGAAATTGCTTCGCTGGATTCAATTGATCGAGTCTAATATAAAAGTCTAAATCAGTCAACTGTTATTTTCTTTTTCTTTCCAACGAACATTCTAAGTACACTTGCTTGAAGTGCATGTAGAACACTTTTCTCTCTGCTCAGAATGTGGCATCAATTAGTACACAACAATGAATCATATGTAGACTAGTAACACAAAGCTTTTATTTTGACATAATAAATTAAAATACACACAAATTCGTACACAAGTTTCCAACCATTAATCCTAAATCCCAACATATTTTCATTTCTTTTGATCTTTCTCTACATGACCATTCTCCTTCACTTCTTTAGTTGCCACAACTCCATTGCAACCATTGCATCTAATTCCCACTACTTCCTTGCAACCATTGCATCTAATTGCCACTACTCCATTGCAACCATTGCATCTAACTTCATTACTTTTGTTCTCTTCTTTCTTTTCACCATCCTTCTTCTCCTTCTCCTTCTCCTTCTCCTCCTCCTCATTCTCCTTCTCTGCCATTTTTGCAGCTTCAGCCTCTTCCTCAGCCTTCTTCTTCTTCGCCTCTTCTTTTGCGCTCTCAAGAGCTTCCACCAATCTCTTGAAGCAATCCTCCGCCACTTCCTCCTCCGACTTGGGCATCAAATTCTCCGCGACGTCGGCCGGAGTCATCTCCGTCTCCTCCAACAACCGCCGGATCTCCCCATACGACTCATGCCACTCCACATCCAAATAATTCATGGCAAGAACCTTAAAAGCCTCGAACCCACAATAAGACATCTCAATATGCTTGTCCATCCTCCCTCTCCTCACCAGCGCCGGATCAAGCTTCTCCACATGGTTGGTCGTGAAAATAATCAGCCTCTCGCCGCCGCACGCCGACCAAATCCCGTCGATGAAATTCAACAATCCCGACAGCGTCACCTTGCTCTCCTTCTTCTCTTCCTCTCCCCCTTTAAAAATCTTCTTCTCCTTCTCCTCCTCCTCCCCTTCCCCTGTTTTCTTCTTCTTCCTCTGTCCTGTCAAATCCAGAGAGCAATCAATATCCTCGATCACAATAATCGCCTTACTCGAGATCTCAATCAGCAGTTTCTTCAACTCGGTGTTGTCCTTAACAGAGGTCAGCTCCAGATCATAAACATCGTACTCCATGAAATTGGCCATGGCGGCGATCATGGTGGACTTCCCAGTCCCCGGCGGCCCATACAGAAGATACCCACGTTTCCATGCCTTCCCCACTCTCTCGTAATACTCCTTCCCCTTCTTAAACTTCACCAAATCATTCAAAATCTCCTGTTTCTTCTTGGGATCCATGGCCAGAGTTTGGAAACTCGAAGGATGCTCCAAAGGGACATGCCTCCAGTTACTCCTCTGCCACCAGTCCTTGCCGGAATTGTTCATGTAAAGCTTCCGCTGCCGGTTTTTGAGCTCCACGGCCTTGCCCTCCTCCATGATGTGGTT